GTTTCTGAAAATTGATTTTGTATTCTTGACGTAGTAGATGTCATCTTTTTACTGACCCATGAGACAGCAGTTGTAGGATTCGTCTAATTTCAATTAGGATAGGTGACACTAGCAAATTGCTAAAAGCTTTTTTCGTATCGTTGGAGTGTAATAGTTTCTTATTTCCTCCCTTCGAATCCTTGCAGGTTGAAGATGTAAATCTTCCTGACACAACGGAAAGCTACAAGCTCTTCTGCCAGGTCTGTAATTGAGATAATGAAACTTCGTTTGAATTTTTTTGTTTTTTTATAACTTGGTGATTTTTTCTCGACAGAGGATGATAGTGGGTGATATCAAAGATTCCATTTGTCGAGTTCCTGATACTCCCTATGACGGTATCTTAAGTTCTTCTATCTTTCACTGGTTTGATAAATTTGTTTTCTTCAAAGTTTAGAGTAGAGAATGTTGGATACTTTTTATCTTTCAATGTTCATTGATCACGTAGCCTTACTTTTCCTGATGTGATGCTTTTATCTGCAGACAAATCATATTCAAACATCCCAACTACGTCGTATGAGCTTCCTGATGGCCAGTAAGCTCCAGTTTATGTCTATCGTTTTTTTTTTGTGTGCCTCAAATGTGCATGCTACAGCTGCTTTTGCTTTCTATGTATAAGGTTTATGGTTGGTTTCTATTCTAGACAAAATTTACCACTATTTTGAACCTTGTTTAATCTGATATCATCTTGTTAGTTGGATTTGAGTCATTAAAGCAATTGCCATAAAAACTTTAGAAGAGCCAGACATTGCTTTTGCGAGCCTGCATGGATCTAACGTGGTAATTGAGAATTAAGTTAGATAAAGAATTAGCTTCATTGAAGATAGGAAGCTGAACCATTGCTTTTTCTTAGTCTTTCTCAATATCTTATTAAGCATATCTACTGCAGGATGCTCGAGATTGGTGCTGATAGGTTTAAAGTTCCTGATGTGATGTTCAACCCATCCATAGTTCAGGTACAAAACTCGGCACCATTTAAGCACAATCAGCATCTTCGAAGATTCGAAGGACATTTGGTTTCTTCGCTTGAGCTGTTTCTTTAGCCTCATATTGTTCGTCAAAGTTTTTAGTTAAGCAACTTTTTGTGTTTGTTTGAATGTGCCAGACAATTCCTGGAATGGAGAAGTACTCAGACATGATTCCTTCCGTTCGTGGGCTGCCACACATGGTAAGTGCAGTACTTAGTCACCGCAAAGCTTTCTTCTCTTTATTTTGTCTAACACTGCTCTTTTTATATACTTATACAGGTCATGGAAAGCATCAACAAATGTGATGTTGATATCAGGAGGGAGTTGTATAGTAGCATACTGGTAAAATAACAATCAATTTCAACTCTCAAATCCCTAGCTAAATTAGTAAAACGCTATATTAGCAATCCCATTAATTTTCTTGGATGTGAATGATGATATTCATAATTTTCTTCTCGCATTATGCCAGCTTGCTGGTGGCACATCATCGATGCAACAGTTGAAAGAACGTCTCGAAAAGGACTTGATAGAAGTATTTTGTCCTCCTCTCTCTTTCCCTCTGGCTTTTAACCTTTCCCTGTTTGTTTCATGATGGTGAAAATCGTTCATTTGTCCTCTTATCTTCGTTTCAGGAGTCTCCTCACTCGGCTCGAGTTAAAGTGTTGGCAAGCGGGAACACAACAGAAAGAAGATTCAGGTTGGACATATATATTTAGTGTTTTTACTTCTTCCTCTAGTTAGACCTTAATTAAATATTTGCTTGGATCGACACAAATGTTATGTATGTATGGTGCAGTGTATGGATAGGAGGGAGTATATTGGCATCACTTGGCTCATTTCAACAGATGTGGTTCTCCAAGTCTGAGTAAGTCTTTGTTCTAATCTTCCATTGATCACATACTCCCAAAGAAAAAAACTAGTCATATTTAGTTGCTCTCCTTACGCTCGAGCTTCTGGTTTTGGTGTGAATGATAGGTACGAGGAACATGGAGCTTCTTACATTCAGAGAAAATGCCCTTAAAAGCAGCTTCAGAATCTATGGAGCCTGATAAGAAGAAAAAACTTTGAAACTAATGCGTTATTTTCGTTGTGCATCATCATTGGTCTTTGAATATTTGATATTTTGCATGAACCTTTGGAGTGACTTAGACATTCACAAGCATCTTATTTTAGTGCTGTTTACAAAACTAATTTCAGATTTTTTTTTTTGCTCAATAATTTGTTCAAGATATTTTATTAAACAGTATCTTATACTATTAAACCGTGAAAAGAGAAAAACAAATATCTAGTGATGGTGGGAAACACGTGGAAGAAGTTGGTTGTTTATCACATATCAAAAATCTTCCACGTCACTCTCGAACAACACAGGCTTTAATTGCGTTAATGACTTTGAAACAAGGAAAATATGAAAATTTGTAACCACAAGTTTTTATAATATAAAACTTATAAAGCAATGTTTATCGACGATATTAATGGAGAAAATGTGACTACTTTTTTATTAGTGGAGAGAATTAAAGACAAAATGGACGTAACTTCTCCGCCACTACAGACTTACGTGTCATGTCTCCACATCCGCATGCATAATCCAATAGATGACACATTCTGAATCATCTAATAAGATTCATCCACGTGTCACCATCTGTCTCGTCTCTCTAAAATAACGTTTACCGACCTTCTTTCTTGTGGACGGCAAGAATCGCCGACGTTCTTCCCTAATTTATCCGGTTCCATCGACGACGACACAATCCTTCTTCATTGCGGCTTTTGATTTCAGA